CCTGTGCTAGCACCACGCACGTGCCGTGCGAAGATGGGCAGCCAGCCAGGACGGGGTGTGCCGGCTCAACGCTCCTGGTCTCCAGTACACCTCCTCGGTCCCGCATATCCTGCACCGGTTCTACATACTGTATCGTCAGTGCGTGTGCACAGCCCTGTGCGTCCTGTGCTAATGCCTCACACATACTGTGCGGAAGTAGGCATCCAGCCAGGACGGGTTGTGCCAGTTCTCCTCTTCAGACCTCCAGTCCGCCTCCACAGTCCGGTACGGCCCGTTCCTGCTCCTCGCACCAAACCAGTGGTGCGTGTTCCTAGCCCGGCCCGGCCTGTTCCTGCTCCTCACACCAAGCCAGTGGTGCGCGTTGCCAGTCCGGCCTGTTCCCGCTCCTCGCACCAAGTCAGTGGTGCGTGTCGCCAGTCCGGCCCGGCCTGTTCCTGCTCCTCGCACCAAGCCAGTGGTGCATGTTCCTAGTCCGGTTCGGCCCGTGCCTGCTCCTCGCACCAGACCCGTGCCCGTTCCACCGGTGCCTGGTCCGGCACCAGTCAGCAGCTCCAGTCCGGAGCCAGAGCAGTCAGCTCCACCGGTGCCTGATCCAGCTCCGGTCAGCTGCTCCAGTCCGGAGCCAGAGCAGTCCGCTCCACCGGGGTCCAGTCCAGATCCGGTCAGCGGCTCCACTCCGGAGCCAGAGCAGTCCGCTCCACCGGTGCCTGATCCAGCTCCGGTCAGCTGCTCCACTCCGGAGCCAGAGCAGTCCACTCCACCGGGGACCAGTCCAGCTCCGGTCAGCGGCTCCACTCCGGAGCCAGAGCATTCCGCTCCACCGGTGCCTGATCCAGCTCCGGTCAGCGGCTCCACTCCGGAACCAGAGCATTCCGCTCCACCGGGGGTACAGTCCATTTTCGTCCTTTCGGGTTTAATATTGCAAACAACTTTCCCTATGGCTTGTTTTAGAAATAGTATTTTTGGGGAGTGATTTCCTTAAATCAGTTTGCTCAACCAGAGAACTCTTGTTTCCATGGTCAACTTCTTTAGGTGCCTTTTCGCAAACTCCAAGCGGGCCTGTCATGTGCCTTTCACGAGGAGTTGCTTCCTTCCGGCCACTCTAACCATAAAGGCCTATGGGTGGAGTGCTGCAGAGATGGTTGTTCCTTCTGGAAGGTACATCCAATCTCCACAGAGAAACTCTGGAGCTCTGTCGTGACCATCGGGTTCTTGTCACCTCCTGACCAAGCACCTTCTCCCCCGATTCGCAGTTTGGCCGGCGGCCAGCTCGAGGAAGAGTCTTGGTGGTTCCAAACTTCTTCCATTTAAGAACGATGGTGGCCATGTCTTCTTGGGGACCTTCAATGCTGCAGAATGTTTGGTACTCCCCAGATCTGTGACTCGACACAATCCTGTCTTGGAGCTCTACGGATAATCCTCCTTCAACCTCATTGTCCGCCCGCCTGATCTGGTGCACTCTTATTTGTTGAGTCAGGGTGTGATTTTCTATGTTGTCTTTCTATGTTTGTGTCTGGTTTTGTGTTCTATGTTGGGCCGGGTGTGTTTCCAATCAAGGCACTGTCGCTCGTTGTCTCTGTTGGGGGAGCATACTTAGGCCAGCCTATTGGCATTAGGTGTTGTGGGATCTGTTCCGTGTGGGGTTTGTTGTGGGGTTCCCTTGGACGTCACGTTTCGTGGTTATTGTTTTGTCGTAAAATAAACTGTTGCATATCACCTGCGCCTTGGTCTGACCCGCTATGAACGAAGGGTGCCCACTCATGGCTTGGTTTTTGCTCAGACATGCATTGTCAACTGTGGGACCTTATATAGACAGGTGTGTGTGCCTTTCCAAATTATGTCCAATCAATTGAATTTATTTCCAATCAAACAGGATGCACCTGAGCTCAATTTCGAGTCTCATAGCAAAGGGTCTGAATACTTATGTAAATAAGGTATTTGCAAACATTTCTAAAAACCTGTTTTCACTTTGTCATTATGAGGTATTGTGTGTAGATTGATGAGAAATTTGTTTTATTTAAATCAATTTTAGAATAAGGCTGTAACATAATAATTTTTTGGGGGAAGAGTCACCGCTCCTTACACAGGATGCGGCACAAAGGGCCTAATCCAAGCACTTGTCCTTCCCTCTGGATTACTGCAACTCGCTGTTGGCTGGCTCCCTGCCTTGCCATTAAACCCTACAACCTCATCCAGAATGCCGCACCGTGGTGTTCAACCTTCCCAAGTTCTCCTCGTCACCCCCTTCCTTCCGAACCCCTCACTGGCTTCCAGTTGAACTCGCATCCGTTCAAGACCATGGTGCTTGCCTATAGGCAGTGGGGGAACGGCACCTCCGTACCTCAGCTCTGATCAGTTCCACTCAACCCAAACAGGCATTGCGTTCATCCACCTCTGGCCTGCTTGGCTCCCTTCCTCTGCGGAAGCATAGTTCCCGCTCTCCCAGTCAAACTGTTCGCTGCTCTGGCACCCCAATGTGGAACAGCTCCCTCACGACGCCAGGACAGCGGATCACTCACCAACCTTCCGGAGACTTTGAAAACCCCACCTCTTTAAGGAAACCTGGGATAGGAAAAAAGTAATCCTTCTACCCCCCCTTTATTTAAAGTGGTTAACCCACTGGCTATAGGGTGAATGCACCAATTTGTAAGTCGCTCTGGATAAGAGCGTCTGCTAAATGACGTAAATGTAAATGTAAATGAAAAGTCAAAGGGTCTGAATACTTTCCGAATGCACTGTACTGTATATAAAGTGCCTTCAGAAAGTATTCACAACCCTTGACTTTTTCCAGATTTTAGGGTGTTACAAAGTGGGATTAAAATTGAGTGAATTGTAATTTTTTTGTCAACAATCTACACACAGTACTCAATAATATCAAAATTGACTGAACCAGATTATCCTCTAGGATTTTGCCTGTGCTTAGCTACATTTAGTTTCTTTTTTATCCTGAAAAACTCCCCAGTCCTTAACGATTACAAGTATACCCATAACTTGATGCAGCCACCACTATGCTTGAAAATATGGAGAGTGGTACTCAGTAATGTGTTGTATTGGATTTGACCCAAACCTAACACTTTGTATTCAGGACAAAAAATGTATTGCTTTGCCACATTTTTTGCAGTATTACTTTAGTGCCTTGTTGCAAACAGGATGCACGTTTTGGAATATTTGTATTCTGTACAGGCTTCCTTCTTTTCACTCTGTCAATTAGGTTAGTATTGTGTAACTACAATGTTGCTGATCCATCCTCAGTTTTCGCCTATCGCAGCCATTCAACTTTGTAACTGATTTAAAGTCACCATTGGCCTCATGGTGAAATCCCTGAGCAGTTTCCTTCCTCTCTGGCAACTGAGGTAGGAAGGACAACTGTGTCTTTGTGGTGACTGGGTGTATTGATAAAACATACAAAGTGTAATTAATAACTTCACCATGCTCAAAGGGATATTCAATGTCTGCTTTTTAAAATGGTAACCCATCTATCAATAGGTGCCCTTCTTTGCAAGGCATTGCAAAACCTCCCTGGTCTTTGTGGTTGAATCTGTGTTTGAAATTCACTGCTTGACTGAGGGACCTTACAGATATTTGTATGCATGGGGTACAGAGATGAGGTAGTCATCCAAAAATCATGTTAAACACTATTATTGCACACAGACTGAGTCCATGCACGTTATTATGTGACTTTTAAGCAAATTCTTACTCCTGAACTTATTTAGGCTTGCCATAACAAAGGGGTTGAATACTTATTGACTCAAGACATTTCAACTTTTCATTTTTAATTAATTTGCAACATTTTTGAAAAACTTAATTCCACTTTGACATTATGGGGTAGTAGTGTGTGTAGGCAAGTAAAAAAAAATATTCTAAATTTTATGCATTTTCAATCAGGCTGTAACACAACAAAATGTGAGAAAATTCAAGGGGTGTGAATACTTTCTGAAGGCACTGTATTTATAAATATTCATATTTATAAAGTACCAGTTAAAAGTTTGGACGCACCCACTCATTCCAGGGTTTTTCTTTATTTTTACAATTTTCTACATTATAGAATAATAGTGAAGATATCAAAACTATGAAATAACACAATATGGAATCATGTAGTAACCAAAAAAGTGTTAAACAAATCAAAATATATTTTATATTTGAGATTCTTCAAAGTAGCCGCCCTTTTTTTCTTGCATGTCAAAGTCCTCCCTCTGTAGTGGTGCTTTCACAACAACTGGGAAAGGTTAAATCATGATGTCAGTGATCTTCTGGTCGGATAGTCGGAGCTCTAGAAAGATGATCGAGTTCCGGACTTGGAATTCCGAGTTGGATGACCGTTTAAAAATATTTTTCCCAGTTGGAGCTAATTTTTTTCCTCGAGTTCACAGTTGAAGTCGGAACTGTTCACGCGCTGTAGTCGGAAGTCTGACATTTTTGAATTCCGAGTTAAAAACAACTGGGAACTGGGAAATCTCAGACTTCCAACATCAGTAGGTTCAAAACAACTGGGAAATCTGAAGAAAAAAAAAGCTCCGACTGGGAAAAATAGTTTTGAACGGTCCTCCAACTCGGAATTCCAAGTCGAAAACTCTGGCACCCTTTGAACTTTTTCTGAGTTCCCAGTTTTTTTGAAAGCACCGTAAATTGAGTGGGTCATGGGAGAGAAGATATGTGTGTAAACTTTATGGGTACCCATGGTGCAGAGAGAAATGCAGGTTGAGGTTGCCAGAAGGTGTCCTATGCCAGGTGTCCTACGCTGAGGCAGTGAAGAGAGTAGTAGGGGAAGATGGGTCCAGGGTGAGGGATCCTAAGAGGATCCCTGTGAGTAGGCCGAGGCCAATAGAGAGTGATATATGAATGACGTGCGTCAATAAGTTTTGTTTTTTTGGCATTCATACTACAGAATAGTAGGCTGATACACAGCCAATACCGTAGGTGGCGGCATGCACGTATAACATTTGTTTGCGGAGCGCAATAATACAAAAGAAGAAGAAGGAGCGCAGCTATGAGTCATCGGGGTTAGTTGGCTAGTAGCTAGCTACGTTGTTTAGCTAAGCTTAAATGTGGCGCAACGTCCCTTTTGTCTGAATTGTGTTTGCGAAACATATTGAATACCGACGATGAGCTGATTTTCTGAAAGTTGATCCCCAGTTCGTTTTGACTATCGATCATCTGATCTGGACCTCTTACTCGAACCAATTGTAAGTTTATATCTTATTAGCTAACCAGCGTAGCTAGGTAGCTAACCAACGTAGCTAGGTAGCTAGTTAACCAGCGTAGCGCTACCAAGGCAGGTAGGTAGGAAGTTAGCCTTGCCAGCTAACGTGTCCAATGTTTACAGGCGAAGTGGGCCATTTGACAGGGACACACTCAGTGACACATATTAGCTGACGTTAGTTGTCAGAGGTTGCTATTAGCTAACTAGCTAGGTACCTATAATGTTATTTAACGTTATCTAGCTAATATTTTATATTTCTTCTATTCTAGGACTAACTAGTTAACCAGCAGCTATTTTGCTAACGTTGATGTTAGCAAGTAGCTAGTACGCGTAAATGTTTTTCACGAGAATGGACCTGTTGAACTATCAGTTCCTGGACAAAATGAACAACAATATCGGGAGTCTACACTACGAAGGTAAGGGAGAATAACTTACTCATTTTCAATAAATGTTTTATTGGCGTAGCAAGCTAGTACTAGTTGTTCGCTAACTAGCTAGCCCTCGTAGTTCAGATAGCTAGCTAACTAGTTAGCCAGCTATGGCTGCCCCCATAATTTGTTTATCATTTACGTTTAGCAATCCATTATCACCATAACAAACCAAACCATGGGTAACGTTAGTTAACACAATTTAATGTATTGATCAATTACACCTTTTTTGATTTTAGTCATTGTGGCTGCAAGGATTGACAGATAGAAAGTCAAGCTAAACCTCTAACGTTATGTCCACTTAGTAGGTAATGGTCACAGCAGGTAACTAGATCACGTGGGGGAGGATGGCTCAAACCTATTGTTACTGATTTTGTTTTAAAACCTTCGGAATACTCTGCAGTTCTAAATTATTGAGACATAATCACTCTGGTTTGCATGAAATGTATAAACGGAGACTGTTCTCTACAGCTGAATCTTCTCTTACAGGTGAGTCCAGGATGCCCTCGCTGCCCTCTGCAATGACCAACATGAGGACCGGTCCTCCACCCATCTGCCCCAGCAAAAGGAAGTATGGCGAGGAGCAAGTAGATGACCGCATTGACTGTGACAACGACCACATGACCAAAATGAGCCGACTGTTTGCTGCTCAACTGTAAGTGTAAACTTACATACTTTTTAGATGTTTTTATTTTTTACATGACAATATTTTAATGTCAAATGTATCCAAACATTTGCAGGTGTGAATGGGCCTATATGTATCGATATCAGAGAAGGATTGCACACAGGAGGAGTGTGCATGTGGTTAAATGTGCCTAAAAGACAAGTGTGTCATAAGTAAACACTGCTGCTTTTGGAACAATCTAGCACTGAACCCTCATTAAGCTACAGTCTGCACGGCCCAATCTCCTGACGTCAAAGCGAGATTGATTTTAAAGTGGCCTATGAATAGCCGGCGCAGTTGGTGGCCTGTGTGAGGCTGTTGGGGGGTAATCTGCCACTTGTCCTCTCTTTAACAAGGGGACGGCCTGCCGGTGGAGACCACCGCAGCAATCCTTGGAGCCTCGGCCACAGCCCTATGGAGCACATCACTTCCTCCTCCAATGGTCTGCATGACAATCACTTATACGCCTCCATCCCCTCCTATGCGATGGACCAGCCCCTGGCTCTGACTAAAAACAGCCTGAACTCTGGACTGGGTGGCACAGAGAGGCCTGCCATGCCCGGCCCTGTGGACAGACCACAGGTAATTCGGACAATTACGAAATACAGTCATGCGTTCATCAGTTGCGTCTTACGTACGGTCTCTTATTGTACGTTGTAAACTTCTTTGTTTTTATCTTATAGAATCGTCCCTCTGTGATCACCTGTGCTCCTGCAAGCAATCGCAATTGCTACCTGTCTCACTGCCACAAGTCTCACAGCCCCAGCCCACCCATCGATCAGAGGAAGGCCAATGGTAAATCTTCTGTGCATCAATTGGATATTATCTGTAACATCGTAACCAAACCACCCTTGGAATTTAGACTTTTCTCAATACTCATAAATAGCTTCACTCAATTCAGGAGCTTTAATACTCACCTTGTACTCACCTCTCTTCTGTAATCCCAGCTAACACTGGCGTCGACCCTGTGATCGAGGAGCACTTCCGCCGCAGCCTGGGGAAGAACTACAAGGAGCCTGAGCCCGTCTCCAACTCTGTGTCCATCACAGGCTCGGTGGACGACCATTTTGCCAAGGCCTTGGGAAAGACCTGGCTCCAGATCAAGGCCAAGGGGCCGGGGGGAGGCCCCCACAGTCCAGAGGCCGACTCCTGAAAGATGGGCCGGGCCTCCCTTACTGTTGAATGGTGAAACACAATCACTTCTTTTGTCTGTGGCATCCGATAAGGGCACCGATTGACCTCCCTATACCATTCATTGTCAAGCTTGACATCCCTGAGCTCAGAACAACCGGTGACAACCATGCTAGACAAGACGATGAATCATCAGTTTGAATACTGTATTATACACCAAGACTGGCTTTTTACGGACCTTGGGGGGTGGTTTCTTCCTACTCCTATTAAACGACTGACTCCGATCTAGGAGGATTTGATACATTTGTTCAGTTAGGGCAGTTTTGGATTGAGTCCAAGTGTGTAAATTCTTCCTTTTGAAGGCAGAAATATCCATTTGAGGAGCCCTCTAGGACCAGTATTAGTCAGCCCTGATGTCAACTTGTCTTTATTTGAGTTCTTGTATTGAATATATTTTTAAACATTTTTAACACTTACCCTGACAGATTCCCAAAACGATCAATTAATGTAGGCCTTTGAGAAGGCGTACTGTTCTGTCTTAACTCCCTCATGCCTTCCTTATTAGCCAAAGAACTCACCTGCCACTTCAAACAAAAAGCCATAGTCTGGTTTGCCCCTCTTCTGCCTCCATCCTCCTGCCATCTCCTTTAACTCTTCACTCACCCTGTAACTTTGTGTTTGAGTGTGTTTTCACTTGGAAAGGAAGGCCGGCCCTGATTTGCACTATTATGTGTTAGATTGAGGTAGGGGTAACGGCATACCTGTTTCATTTGGAGCATACAATACATTTGTATGATTATTAATATATATTTTTTTACAATACTAACTGTGGTAATGCAATTAAGGCTCGTGCCTCCCTCCGGTCCCAATGTTTCTCTCGCTCGCTCGCTGTCTCTCTCTCCAACTATTCTGAACTGGACTCACTTTCTTATTTGTGGACTTTACATTTTTAGTTTTGATCCTTTTGTTCTTCTCCTAATACTCACTGTGGTTCATTTCATAGATACAGTTAGTAATAAGGATAGTATTCTGCTTACCGAGATGCATGTTTCAAATAGCTGGTGTCTATTATAAGCCTTGTTATTCTATACTATTCACCCTCAGAATTTATTTTTGTCAGTAACAGTTTTAGAAATACTCACTGCTGGTACAGTCATACTAAATATATTTTTTGTATCTGGTTTTCATTAGAAAATGTGTACACAAGCATCCATCTACAAAACACAGCCTCTGGCAAGGCTGTCTGGCTGCAGTATAATAGGCTAGATTGCATTATTGTTCTGTGTTACTGGATGCTATGACTGAATACAGTAAACATTGAACATCCTGTAGAAGTCCTATCTAGGAGTTGACTATCTTCACCGTAATGCCGTTAGTCATGATTTTATTTACTCTAATCTGTTTCGGTTCAACTTTCAGTTGAACTTTGAATGCTATCAAATTGACTAACTTTTATTTTGTTAAATTGTCTAGTAATGAGGATTTCTACTCCACAGTCTTCATTTTGGAAAGTGTAATGGTTTATTAACCCTAAAAACAAAAATGTTGGTGACTTCACACACGTATCATGGCTGGCCTTGAACAAAAGCCTTGCTCATGCTTGTATTGAGACGATGGCATGAACATTCCACCATTACTACCCAACTCAATTTTATGTTTAAAGTAAGATCTGGTAAGAGTAAGATTTGTGCAATGAGGATAGTTTCTCTTCCGTTTGTGGTGTTTCCATTGTGTAGCCTAAACTGTATGGGAGTTAAAAAAACATTGAGAATAGAATCCAGGGTAGTACCACTCTAGAACATCTAATGTATTAAAGGTGCAGGTTATGCAGATGAATACAATTGTATGACCTTTCTGAAATTATTTCCATTTCTTTTAGTAAACCTATGAGTTAACACTGTTATAGTACGTTGACATTGTTTTAGTCACCTCAGCTCTTTCTTTGTGAGAATTATGTACGGTACTTGCATCCAATATTCTACACACTGTTTAAGAATTACTCCATAAACTATCATATTTCCGTTTGTCTTTTTCTTTAATTTGTAAAGACTATCATTGCGCCGTGCGTAAAGATGCTAGATACATTTTTTAAACAATGTACTGGATATTCAGCCATTGGATAGTCATTATCCTCTAACGATGCATTTTTATCTATCTAAAAAGTTGATGTTTTTCCAGAGTTGTCATTCTATGAATAAGGCTCTCAAGGCATACTAGGGGCGGCAAGTAGCCTAGCGGTTAAGCGCATTGGGCCAGTAACCGAAAGGTTGCTGGTTCGAATCCCTGAGCCGACTAGGTCAAAAAATCCGTCTGTGCCCTTGAGCAAGGCACTTACCCCTAATTGCTCCATCTAAATGTACACTGAACAAAATTATAAATAAAACATGTAAAGTGTTGGTCCCATGTTTCATGAGTTGAAATACATTTGTTTACATCACAGTTAGTGAGCATTTCTCTTTTGCCAAGATAATCCATCCACCTGACAGGTGTGCCATATCAAGAATCTGTTTAAACAGCATGACCATTACACAGGTGCACCTTGTGCTGGGGACAATAAAAGGCCACTCTAAAATGTGCCGTTTTGTCACACAACACAATGCCACAGATGTCTCAAGTTTTGAGGGAGCGTGCAATTGGTATGTTGACTGCAGGAATGTCCACCAGAGCTGTTGCCAGAGAATTGAATGTTCATTTAGAGAATTTGGCAGTACGTCCAACCGGCCTCACAACTGCAAACCACGTGTATGGCGTCATGTGGGCGAGTGGTTTGCTGATGTCAATGTTGTGAACAGAGTGCCCCATGGTGGCGGTGGGGTTAGGGAATGGGCAGGCATATGCTACAGACAACAAACACAATTGTATTTTATCTATGGTAATTTGAATGCACAAAAATACCGTACCGAGATTCTGAGGCCCATTCTGAGGCCCAGGTATCTGTGACCAACAAATTCATATCTGTATTCCCAGTCATGTAAAATCCATAGATTAGGGCCAAATTCTGATTTCCTCATATGAACTGTAACTCAGTAAAATCAATGAAATTGTTGCATTTATATTTTTGTTCAGTATAAATGTAATAATGTCAGGGTGACATTACTGCTGCAGGTTTTGAGTGTTTCTGTACTGCAGTGGAACTGTAAGGGCTTATCACGAGTTGACTCAGTGATATGTTGGGGTTTAATGTTCCAATGTTATTTAATTGGTATTAGACTGCTTGTGCCTCTAAACACAACCTAACTCTGTGTCTTCACATGGAAAACTACATTGCCTTAAACGTTTTGTTCATCTTTATTTAGTTTGTTTTTTGTACTTGATTTCTCCTAAATAAACTTTAAAATGCTCTGTCTCAGTCCAGTATTTTTTAAATATTTTTTTTGGTGGGGAGGTCACCAATATTTGTCCAACAATGTAATTCAAGATTCAGACTTGGGGCCATTTTGACATCTTGCACAGAACCCAGCCCATTGCCATGAAACCAGCCAGAAGCTAGGTTTCCATCCAATTGGCAAATATTTCATAACATTTCATGTGAATATTCTAAAGTCTGCAGAAAAATAATATGCACATTTTCCCAATAGAGATGTTTCCATGAAATTGACTTGTGGATAAAAGGCTGTGCGTGATGACGTAGTGCACATAAAAATAACTTTCAGTTAAATGTGTTTCCATCGCATTTTGAATGTATATAGCGAATGTTCCCACTCTAGTCTTGGCATGTGCGCTCTAGACAGCAGGTGGCAGATCCAGTGTGGGTAGGCTTGCCTGCATGATGAGATTATTATTGACAAAAAAGCGAGACTATTTTGATTTATCAAAAGGCAGCCAAGCATCTATCATGTCACCATAAGACCCTCGATATTTATTGGAAAGGAGCATCAGGCTCATCACAGTGCACTTTCACCACCCTGTGAAGTTCATAACTTATTTCATCTGTAGCTTAAAGGGATAGTTCATCCAAATGACAAAAGTACATATTGGTTTCCTTACCCTGTATGAAGTCTACGGACAAGGTATGACGACAATCCATGCTTTGGTCTAGTTTCCCTGGCACTGTTTCCAATTGCTAACGTTTTAGCATTCGTGGTACAAATCCCATTCAAATCATAGTACCGCTATTTGCATTTTTCGCGCATCATGTTCAAATAATCTATCAGTGACTTTGTAGAGCTTCAAAATCAATTTTAGATACTTTTGGATGATTTGGACAAGATGCGCGATAAATGCTAATGTCGGTAACATGACTTGAATCGATTTGTGCCACAAATTCTCAAACGTAAGCATACCTTGTCCATATAGACTGCTTGCAGGTTAAGGAAACCAATGTGTCATTTTGTAATTTGGGTGAAGTATCCCTTTAGGAATTGAACGTTATTTATAATAAGGGTTACATGCATAAAATCGGACCTCTCTGAAATTAAAATGGATGGCCCTCCCAAAATATATTTTATCTAAACCCTCCCTGAATGCTTAAAAAAAAAAAAGTGACCCTCCCCTACACCCAAAATAATAACGAAGTGGATAGCAGAGACATGCCTACCATTTACCCTCACTTCTTGGACAGACCAGAGCCTTCGAAAGGCAGTTTTATGAACTTTTATTCGTCCTGTAAGCTTTAAGGTCTAACGACATGTCTGTAGACAATTAGAATGTCGCTGGTCAAAATGACATTTAATTTATACTCCGGTAGAATGTCTGTAAACCGTTGCTGCGACTGTCACTTTACTTGTCACACAGACATGTAAAAAGTATCTGAAACTGATGCAACGTCCCTTGTCGTGGTAACCGGAATGCCACAGCAACCAGACCAAATCATCCTGTGACAAGCTGATGCAGGAGTTAGAACATTCTCTGATATAATTACTTACTTTTATTTCGTCACACTGTTGCAGTAAGCTATTTTCTGTATGCTCGCCATTACCTTGTAAATAATTAGGTTGTTGTGGGTTTATTTTCCTGTAATAATGAATAAAAAGTTGAAGCAATACTCTGGTCATTATTTGAACTGCAACGAACCAAAACATTGTTTCGAAAATTGCTTTTAGTTAACTGGCTTGCTAGGTTGACATTTACTAAATTCATTTTTAAACAGATGGGTTTATTGGTGTTAAAATAGAGAAAGTATACTATTTGGAGCACCAGACTGCTGATGTCATGCAGAAAGGAAAGTTTACCGTTTACCGACAAATGTTCTGTTTCCATAAAAGGTTGGATGGAAGCCTGGTTACTGAGGCAGTTCTGGGTCGTTGATTTACTATTTATAAATAAAGTTGTATTTGGCCTCATGGGCGTGGTGGTAACATACAGTAACTAGTTACAGCTGTGCTGTGGGATTGTTGTTTCTCAGTGCTGGCAGGGAGGGATGATACTTCTCTCTTTGTCTTTCTATTTCTCAAACACCATCTCCCTCTAGCTGCTGCTTATTTAGAAAGGTCAGAGGCGGACTGCGTTGGGGGAGTTGTGGTCAGTCAGTGGAAACACTGAAAGGCCACAGAGGAAGACGGAGTATGAGGGAGTGAGGGACCTCAACAAGCAGTGTCCTCTGATGGCTGGGTTTATTCAAGAGAATTTATGGACCAAACTGCAGCTGCAAGAATATAGAATATTTATATCATAATGTAATGATTATCAACTATATTATCTTCATGTAATTACAGTATTTGTGATGTGTAACTAACCTCTTTCAAATGCTAGTAGGGATTCAAAGTAGCCATAAAAGTCATGAAATAGGCTACATTTTACATCCCAGGAATATATGTATGACTCTGTAAGCTTTGGCTGATAGCTCCAAAGAAGTGTGTCACACAACCACAACATCTGGTTTGTATTATCCTCTTACTGTTAGTGGGGTTACACCCTCCCTTTGAATGATTCTGTCTTGCCATTGTTTTTCTTACAGTAAAAGGGTAAAACTGGCTCTCAAGTTCTACTTGTGAGGTCACTGACTCGGGTGGCAATCGTAGTAAAATGTTTTATAGGATTTCCATGACTGCTTCTTTAATGATGATATCTTTATTCTGTCACTTGGGGAAGCTGACACATTTAGACTGTGGGAATTAATTTAGGTCTGTGAGGCTTAGTTTAACCCTCTGTCTCTTGGGTAATCGCTGTCAACACTAGGCAAGTTTATAAAACTGTGCAATGTAAACTAGGGAAAATGTCATTGTTGGCGATAAAGTAATGGTTGGATTACTGTGGGCAACTAAAGTTTCTTCACAGACCTGTTTCACACCTGACCCTGCTGGTCCAGACTGTGATGCATGAACAAGATAATGTTACTATCATTACTACAAAATCTGGCTAATTAGGCTATTTTCGTGTGATTTCAATTTTCAAGTTTTAATGTCACATGAACAAGTACAGTGAAATGCCTTTCTTGCAAATTCAAAGGTTATTTCAGGGACATATTAGTATAAAAGCCTCAAGAGGGCCTAAGTGCAACATTTCTCATATCTGGTTGAACTTGTTTTATCAGAACACAACGTTGTTGTCATCCACGTATTAGTTTGAGCATAGTTTGAGCAAAGAGCCACATAACAAAGACTTGAGCCAACGCACATTTTATCTCCCCCCACTAGATGGCAGTATAGAACCACGATACAGACGGCACCATAAAACTCCTTCCACTCCCCAGAGACCAAACCAAGAAAATGTGCATTATCCCTCTGGGAAGGCTGATTTGAATGAATCATCTCTCGTATTATTTATTCTTACATGTGTTTTCCACTGAAACAAACGCAGGTGACAGCATAATTGCATGATGAAAGGGGTAGATTACCGAAGGCGTCATTCTCCGCTATCTACCTGGCTCCTGGTTTTGCGTTTGATAGTGCTGCTGTAGCGCCGAGACCCCTAGAGGGCGTAGTTCTTCCTGATGTCATATTACCTCTAGGTGTCGACCCAGTCAGCCCAGCCAGTAATACACTCGTATCTTCCATGGACCGGCTCATACATAAAACATCCTCCATTCAGGCTGCAAAAGCATCGGTTTCCTTCTTAACTCGATTTAAGGGCTCATCGGTGGGAGAAAAACTGGGAAAATATGTGTACTGTCTTAATAAAACACAATTTTCCACCACCATGCTAGGGTGGCTAATGTTACTTCCTGATGTCGCGGTGCGCTTTCAGCCAGGGGTAAACAAGACTCACTATGTGTGCAACATCCAGAACTTGTCTGAAAATCCAATTGACACATTTGCAGCCTGAATGGAGGACGTTTTATGTAGGAGAAGGCCCAGGGGGACACGAGTCCGTCAAAATTCTGTTTTTCCTGTGTCTTATATCATATTGTACAACAGCTGATGAAGCTAACACTGTAAAAGTGATTTAAAAAAAACATTTGATTAGTGTTATTTCCTGATAGTTGCTGGTTGAAAATATAATCTACATAGGACCTTATAATCAGCAGGTTTGCATATGCGGGTGTTTCGGCTTTCAATGGTGACATCACCATGGTAAACGAGTTAATAGACCAAAAAGAAAGTGTTCCAAACCTCCCTGTCAATAACAGCTAGTTTTCCCCTCCACTCAGACCACTCACAGACAGTCCTAGCAAAATTTGTGTTTAAGAAAACGTTTTTTTGTTGTTGCTTCAATGGAAATCTATTACAGTAAGGTACTTAATTGTTACCCAGAAATGTTTGATATTGATATAAAAACGGCTACATTGGGCCTTTAAAGTGGATGTAAAATGACAAACGAGGTAAAAGGAATAATAGCGCCATCTTGCGGTTGGTTGGGTTACTGCTGTTGCTGCGGGAGAGATTGTAAAATGTTGCTCTCTTTCATAGCTGATGCTTCTGGCAATCAACAATGCAACCATGCAGTGGAAAAATGTATAGGATTAACACATTCATTTTTAGATTTGAGAAATTCAAGCGACATCTTTCCGATGGCCTCGTTTTTTAGGGCCGATGGATTTAGGCAGTTCTACAGTATGTAGCCTACAAACCAGAGCCCCTCCAGTTAGTTTGGCAATTTAGAATTTGCCCAACACCCCTCGTTGTAACCCACATCTTCTAACTGGGAGAGGGGGAAGATCCCTGGGATTTTTGTGCTCTCGCCCCTCAGGCTCAAAGCTGCTCTAAAACCCCTCCAACAGACCCCCGCCGCTACAAGATTAGATTTAACCATTGAAACGGCCCAATTCCACCGCTCCCACTACGCCAAGCCTTCCAAGGAAACCTGTTTCTTTGGGATTACTGGGAGGAGAGGAAAGAAGAAGGAAGAAGATCCAAATTTCCCCACTTTATGCAAAAACCCAATGGCAGACACACAGAGCATGGCGTAGCCCCGACATGGCGACACAGCCATCAGGCCACATCGGCAGCAGACACAGAGAATAGGTTCTAAATGAGAACGACACTTCAGGGCCACG